GCCGGGCGGCCCGGGGAAAAAAAGCCCGCCCCTGGCTGCGGGGGGACGTAGCGCAGCCGCTGCTCAGCGCAGAGCGCACGAGGCGGCGTTTAGCACAGACGCGCGGCGTACCGCTATCTGCACGCTCGCAGCGGTAACGCGAGCCGGGAATTCCTGCCGCTGGGAGCCAAAATGAAGATGCTGAAAGAAGGAACGGAGGAACGCAAGGCAAGTGGGAGACCTGGGGCACGATGGCATGATACAGCCACGCTCCGGTTCAGCTCACCCACTTCTTTTGGGTTTCAGCCACTTCAGGAAGGTGAGGCTGGATGCAGGGCAGGGACTGGGGCCCCTCCCAGAGCTGATCCATATATATTTTATTTTTTTTTCCCTTCAGACTTATCCTAGCTCCCAGCAGAAGGATTGCTGTGAACACCTCCAGCAGAAGCTGTCTCACATCAAAAGCCTGATTCTGCAGTTTGAAGGAAGGGGGAGCTCCTAGGCAAACCGCTGCTTTTTTTCCTTGCTTATCAGGACCTGTCCCTGAAGCGGTGGAGGGAGCAGATCCCCGAGGGCGAGGTTCAGGAATTGCTGCCATGACTGCACCCTTCCTCAGTCGGCTCTTCCTCCTCATTCTGCCGCATGAGCTTCGGTTTGATGGCGGCACACAGCAAGGGACACCTGGGCAGCCACCAGCACAACACCCATCTCGCATCCTTTGTCCCTCTTGCCAGAAGCTTTGCCCCTGCTGTGCCAGGCACCGGCACCGATGCTTACCAAGAGAGGGGCTCCGCTAACTCGTGCTTAGTGCCCAGCTGCCCCCGCGCCTGAAGGCAGAGGGTAGGGAGCAAAGCGAGGATGGGAACGGCTTCCCCTGGCTCGCCCTGCCCGCTGCTGGGCCGCGCCCTGCCCATTAGGGGAGCAGTGCCCCAGTTTGGCTTTACGGACAGCGGTCCTCAGCAGTCAGAAGTAGGGCCCGTTGTATTGCCGCTCCTTCCACTAGCGTCTGAAGGCCGCAGGGGCGCCCCGCCAGCCTGGGGTGCAAGGACCGCTCGAGGTCACACACGTCCTCCCCCCGCCCCAAGGGGCCTCGGTGGCTGTTGGGGACAGAGCACTTGACAGCCGAGTACAGAAGGCAGATGTGGTTTAAGACGCTGACGTAGCTGGGGAAGAGATTCTTGTACTGCACAGCGGCTGTAGACAGAGAACCATGTGCTAAGCGTTGTGTGATCTACCGTACCTGGAGAATCCCGGCAGCAATAATTGGTACGCAGCCTTCGGAGCTGTGGGGGAGGAATCCACAGAGAAAGCAAGCGCTGGCTCTTACCATGGTAACTGCTGCAACGCAGCCAAGCCTCGAGCCTGCCGAGCCTCGCTTCAGCTCACTCGCAGCCCGAGAATCTCGGAGCGCCAGGGCAACAGCCCAGCTCTCGTCACTCACCACCGCTCCTGACCTTCCTAGTCGGCACATTCCGGGGCAAAGGCAGGCAGGACTGCCCATACCCCGAGACGGCCGGTCAGCCCCCACCGTCTGACTGCAGCATGGGATCCGATTCCTCTCCCTCCTGAAGAGGAAGCCACAGCTACCAGCCTGCTTTCCACCAAGAGAAGTAATGATCTTACAATTAACTGGTCTTAACCACACGCAAGCCACAGACAAGCCTATGGCGGAGGGGAGCGCTCGCCGCTGCTCCTGCCCGTGTCTGGGTAGGGTATGTACCCAGCAGCACTCCTCCCCAACACTTGACTCCTTTTGCACCAGCTTAAAAGCTAATTTATTGCTGCTGCTTGTATGCTGCTGAGCAAGCCCTATGCCCGACTGCTCCGAATGCCTGCACTCGTCAGATCCAGCTGCCACGCAAGCACCACACACCTCTGAACCCGCCGAGGCGGCGCTGCTGCCCATCAGGCAGCGTGCAGACAGAAGCATTTGTGACCAGAGTCCCTACGCCCAAAATCCGCACACGCATAGCACCCGAGGCACAGCGCGCTGAGACAGCTGCTGCTACCACCGTCGCACAGTCTGGAAGGACTCTCGTTAGCCGAGGAAGAACGGGCTAAAGGCTGAGCTTAGTATCTAGAAACAGACTTCTAAAGGCTCGCTGAAGGAAACTAGGCTCACAGTAGGAAGTCGCTGCCTACAAAGAGCAGGATCCTGGCGCGAGGTCCGACAGGTCTCCATAAGACAGGGACACTTAGTCTTAAGGGGGTCGTTTTATTGTTTCACTTCTCCAAATGTACAAAAAAAATTAGAAAATAACCCTACCCCCCACCCCCTCCCAAACCACAAAACAAACCAGTCTGGGGAGCCCCACAACAGTGCAGCAAAGAGAGAGCGGGAAATGAAACAGAACTAGATACAGCAGCTGGGTCCCCTCAGCCCACATGGTCACTGGCTCTTCACCACCCAGAACTGGCCCCAGCCTGCCCAGTGCTTCCCCAATGCACACAGAGCTCATCCTGACGCGATGGCAAGCAGGTACTTTACAAATCCTCCTTCACCTTCTTCTTGGATTTCTTGGTTTTATCTTCCTCCTGCAGCACGGGAGTGTTGGTTGCCTCCCGCTTCAAGTAGCTAATGAAGTCGCTCACTTCTCTGCCACCCTGCAGAAAGCACAAGACGGTAAGGCAGTGCCTGTGCTCCCTGGGGGCTCCCCTTCCCTAGAGGGGGAGTTCAGGGGCCGGGCAGGGGACCAAAGCGCCTGGAAGCGGAGCTCTGCCCTGTGGGTCTGCAGCAGAACATTCCCAGCAGGTACCACCGGCTGTGTTCCCAGGGTGACCGACGGGACTGAGTGCCACCCGCAACTCCAGAGGGGCCTGGCATTACTTGGACACCTGGATGCTACTTCACTTCTTTACAAAGCGGCAAGAGACTCACCTCATACTTCTTTGGACTCTGCTTCTTGCCAGCTGGAGCAAAATAGATGGTGGGGAAGCTGGGGAGAGAGAAGAGACACGTGAGCTCCTAACGTGCTCCGTTTTCTTTCAGACCAGCAGGCTAGCCCTCAAAGGGACTCGCGCCCTGCGTTCCTCCGGTTTAACGCGGTAACAGCTTCAGCAGCTCTGAAGCCAGCAGCTGTGGCCTCCAAAAGCCTGGCCATGTCTGCAGAGTTGGCCGAGCTCAACTACGTCCGAGTTTGCTAACTGAACCGTTTTCAGAAATGCGAGCCCAGCACTGTTTTTGCACTGCCAAGAACAGAATCACAGCAGATTCAAAAGCAGAGGGAGGGGTTCAGCAAGACAGGCCTCCAGGCGTAGCCAGGACCCCAGAATCCCAGAGAAGCAAGGCAGGTGAAGATCCTTTGTTTTCACTCCTTCACTCTAAGCCAATGCCTAACAATCGCACGCCCATCACCCCCGCCCATCCTCCCCGGAGACTCTTTCAGCTCCTCTGTTGCGGTTGCTGGTCAGAGCCAGAGGCCCGAACTCCCCCCGACACGGTGGTGTAACAACAGTAAGACCTACCCTCTGACTTCGTACGGAGAAGGCACATCATTGGCTGTAGCATCCATTTTGGCAATGACAATATTGGGGTCTTTACTGAGCTGTTGGTAGAAAGCGCTTATTAGTAACCAATCCGTAGTAGTTAACAGCAGGAACTCACCAACTGACATCATCTAAGACAGTGATGTCAGAGGACAGCACACGCGGTATGCTAGAAGGTGAGCAAATTCCTTCTGCCTCAAGAGGGGCACAGGGAACAAAGTCCCCCCTCAGCCAGCTGTGTGCAGCACGCATCTCCCAGTGGCACCTGCTGACCTGGTCTGGTGTCACCTCTGGGGAACGCTTACCCCAGAGCAACTGCTTGCCTTCCACCCCAGCAAGTGAGCTGTGAGGACACGCAGCGCTCGGGAAGGAAGGGTGCCTGAGAGCCAAAGAGCAAAAGGCTGGCCAGATCTGGGAGCACGGATTTATCTACTCCACTTGTGAAAGCGTGCAGGGCAGCGATGTCCTTCACCAGACGGGAGACCGTAACTGTGCAGAGGGAAAAGCCCCAAAAAGGAACTTTGCCAGTTGAGGCCAGTCATTGAATCAGGGAACATTTGTGTGCCACAGCAAAGGGCGCAGGCTAAACCTACTAGCGCGGTTGCTACCACGCTCCAGATCCTGCCAATGTACTTCTGCATTCACGGGAGATGCCAAAGCTCATAGTCCTCAGGAAGGCACAATTATGCCCCATTACCATTAAGGCTAGACAGACAGAACCTGCAGGATTGTTTACTGCTGCAAAATCCTCGTTCGCTTTTGCAAGAGAGTCCCAGACCTACCTTCTCCCCCAATTCTTTGTATTTGGGCTCCAGATTCTTGCAGTGGCCACACCAGGGTGCATAAAACTCTATCAGGACATCTTTGTCTTCTGCGTTAACAATTTCATCAAAGTTCTCAGCAACCACCACCTGATAATGTTTGACCACACAAGTTAGTTTTTTCTCAGTCACGAATGAGGCAGTAACATGACACGCTCCGTACACTCTGCCCAAGAAAGCCTGGCCCTCCCACAGCGAGCAGCAGGACTCACGCTGCACCTACACAGCAAGCAGCAAAATGACCAAACACACCGCTCGCTCTTCACCAAGCTCTAACATCCTCAACTCGCAGGTAAAAACCTGTCACAAGGTACCAGCACTGCCTGCAAGTGAGGTTTGCACCCGTTATCCTCACAGGAGGAGGACAAAATCATTTCTTTTTAATCCCAGCAGGTTCCAGGCTGAGGAATCAGTTTAGCAAGACTGGCTGAGGCCATCCCCATCCACACACAAACAAGCAGTGACTTCCACTCCCGAATAAGGCCCTCATCATAAAGCCAGGCCATGGAATGCTTTCATTCAGGGCAGAATTTACCGGGAGGGATAAAAGGTAGGAGTTACACCTCCCCTCCCAGTGATGAGATGAACAGGTAACTCCTTAGATATAGTGCAGTCATGGCCAACTTGAAAGCCGTGCCGTGAGGGAGCGCAAGCCAAGACAGCAGGCCTTCGCACAATCCCTGTAAATTTGGATGACCCTGCAGTGGCAGAGCACGTTGCTAGTGCGCTCAAGCACTAGTTACTACGCCGAGAGAACAAAACGCAATCAAAACCGCAAGCTGCGTTTCTCCCCTGGCTCAGAAAACTGCAATACAACAAGGGAGTGAGTCCTTCTTCCAGCTATCACAGCAGAGGCTTCTCAAGACGCCACAACGCAGCGCTCGCGGCACGGAACGCTGGCATATGACTAGAAGCCACTGCTGAACAGAGTTTCTTCATCCACCGGTAGGAGCTGCCGCTACGCTTGATACAGCACTCACCTTCACAGGGCCATCATTGCTTTCAGGGACAGGCTCCGATTTCAGATACTTTTTCAAGTTTCCATCGAAGTAATCTTGCAGGAATCTCTCCAGAGCCTTTCCATCACGACTGAAAGCGAAGCGACATTTTACAGCCATCATCATACATACAGGATGAGAGGGGAAAACTCTCAAGGCTGATTTAAGCTCCTTCCACCCACAGAACAGATGCCACCTGCATCTCCCAGAGCACCTGTCTGCGGCGGGCTTAGAAGGCCCCAGAACAAGTGCAAAGATGCCCTCAAGGGTTTTGACAGGAGGCTAGATGCACATC